TGGAGAGGATGTGGAAGAAGGGGAACTCTTTTGCACTGTTAGTGGGAATGCAGACTGGTGTAGCTACTTTGAAAAACAGTGTGGAGATACCTCAAAAAATTAAAAATGAATCTGCCTTTTGACCTAGCAATTCCTCTCTGGGAATATATCCAAAGGAACCTAAAACACTAATTCAGAAGAACAGAAGCATCCCTGTGTTCACTGCAGTGTTATTTACAATCACCAAAATATGGAAGCAGCCCAAGTGTCTATCAACAGATGAATGGATAAAACAACTATGGGACATTCGCACAATGGAATACTACTTGGTTGTAAGAAAATTTTACCCTTTGCAGCAGTATGGATGGATCTGGAGAAAAACTTAAGTGAATTTCACTTTATTATAAAATGAACTTATTTCATTATGCTAAGTGAAATAAGCCAGTCAGAGAAAGGCAAATACCATATGATTTCCGGAATCTAATGTGGAATCTAATGAACAAACTGAACTAACAAGGAAAATGGGGACAGACTCATAGAGAGCAGGATGACAGCTGGGAAGGGAGATGTTAGAGAGTGGAAGGATTAAGCAAAAAGGAAAAAGGACTCATGTACATGGACAACATTATGATGATTGCTGGGGGGAGGTGGGTATAAGGGGACTAAAAGGTAATGTAAAAAATACAATAAAGATTTTAAAAATCTCCAGTTGTTGTTATTAAATTTTTCTACTTTCCCCTTCCCTGTGCCTGCTTAGTATTTTATTTTATTTTTGATTTAGAGAGGGAGAAAGGGAAGAAAAAGAGAAGGTGAGAAAAATTGATGTGAGAAACACTAATTGGTTGCCTTCTGTACGTGCCCCAGAGGACCAACCCTACAACCCAGGCATGTGCCCTGACCAGAAATTGAGCCAGTGACCTTCCAATTCACAGGATGATGCCCAACCAACTGAGCCACACCAGACAGGGTGTCAGTTTATGCTTTATAAATTACAATGCTCTGTTTTTAGGTATACTGCAAAAATATTCATTCTTATATCTTCCTAGTGAATTGCTCATTTCCCATTATGAAATGTCTCTCTATATCTTACACTACTTTGTTTTGTTGTCTATCTTGTCTGATATTAATATAGACTTGTTTACTTTCTCATGCCTAAGGTTTGCATTAATACTTTTTCATCATTTTTTTAACTCTCTTTGTTTTCATATGTAAATATGTCTCTTATAAACAACATATAGATGTATATACTGGGTTGGCCAAAAGTTCATATGGTTCTTCCATAAAATAAAAAACACACTCTTCATTTTCAGCAATAACTTTATTGATTTGCATATTTTGAGTATGTGTTCTATCTTTCACATGGTATAATGTTGATTGTTCTCAATTAATGTCTCGATTTGATTGCTATCAACTTCAACTGATCCACTGGGCTGTGGAGCATCATCCAGCAAGAAATCTCCAGCATGAAACTTTGCAAACCACTATTGCCATGTTCAATCAGTCATAGCACCTTCTCAATTCACTGCACAAATCTTTTTTTTGCGTTTCAGTTGTATTTTTTCCTTTCTTGAAACAATCAAGTATAATATGCCAAAAATGTTGCTTATTTTCTTCCATCTTTAGTATTAAAATGGCTACCCAAATATTCACCAATTTTGATAAGGTTTTTTAAAATTCATGCTGATATGACAGCTGTCACAATACAATCTAATGAAATTGTTTTGAATGAAGTTAAAAACATTAAATTCTACTAGAGCCATCTTATGGAAAAAAAAGAAACAAACTTTGTGACCAACTCAGTATATTCACTTTTTTCCAATCTGACAGTCTCTGTTAATTGGATGTTTGGTCCACTTACATCTATTGCCATCATTGGTACAAGAGGTTTTAAAGCTAACGTTTTACTACTTGTTTTCCATTCATTCCTCCTAATATTTTTAAATCTCTGTTTTTTCCTGACCTCTTTTCTATTAACCACATGTTTTTTTGAGTTCCATTGTTATGCTGTCTATGCTTAACCGTATCTCTTTTCATGTATAGCGGTTGTTCTAGGGCCAGCAATATGCATCCTGTATCAGGTCAATATTGTTAACCACTTGCTCTTCAAATCTGACACTGCAAACTGCTTCCTACCTTCACAAATATAATGACCATACAACAGTATAAGTCCCTTTACCTGTCCCCGTCTTTTGTGTGATTGCTATTTTGAAGCAAATTATGAGGAAAAAACAGAGAATTTTATGCTTGTCCATCTATTTTTTGTTTTCAGTGTTCTTCCCTTTTTACAGGTGTGAGTTTTCACCTTGTATTATTCCCCATCAGCCCATACGCCACTGTTAGCATGTTTGTAGTGCAACTCTGCTGGCACCATATTCTCTCAGCTTTCACGTGTCTCATTGTGTCCTTATTTCCCCTTATATCCTTGATTATGAAGGATATGTTCATGGGATATGACTTGACAGGTCTTCCCTCCTCCTTTTAGGACATTAAAGGTGACTTTCCACTGTTTTCTGGATTTTACTGTACCTTCATATCAGTTATTATTCACATAATTGTTCTCCCATATATAATGTATGCATATGTTTTCCTTTGATGACTTCTAAAATTTCTTCTTAATCTTTGGATTTTAGCACTTTGACTTTTATGACCTTAGGATTGATTCTTTTTAGACTATCCTGCTTTGGGGTTCACCACACTTCTGAAGCTATATGTGGTGATTACATAAACCTAAGAAGTTTTGTAATGGAGGAAAAATGGTGGGGGGAGAAGTTTTTGATCTTCATTTATTCAAGTAGTTTTTCTCCTCTTTTCTCCTTCTTAGATTCCAGTTACAAGTATGTTAACATTGTTCCACAGATGCTTGAGGTTCTGTTAATTTTACTTTAATCTTCTGGTTTTCTGTTAAGTTTGGTTAATTTCTCTTGATATCTCTTAAAATTCAAAGACTTCATCTCCCTTTTACAATCCGATATTAATCCAATCCAGTAAAATTTTATTTCAGTATTATATTTTTCGGTTTTAGAGCTTCCAAAAACATTTCCAACAATGTTCTTTTATATTTTGCAAAGACATCTGTATAAGGTTTGTTTTTCTGAAGGTCCTTTCATTACTCATGACACAAAAACATTTCTGAGGGTGAATTTAACATGGGGAAAAGCATGTACGTGAATAATCACATTACTTCTTGCACTTTAAACTCAACATTTCTCATAAAAAGTGGCTCAGAAGAATGTCCATCTTCCTGGAAACTGACTAGTTCCAAACATTTGGTTAAAAATATCTTAAGTTGGTTTGTTATCCTTATAAGCCCACTCTGTTCAGTGCACAGACAATATATAAAACTAAAAATTTATACCATGTTATAAATTTTGGTAAATCATAACAAACTAAATAAACAGAATTAACCATATTAATTATGTTGATTTTTAAATAGTCCAAAATTACGTTGAGGCTCAACATAAAGAAAGAAGAGTAAACAAACTGGCCAAAGAAAAAAAAAAGACTCTCTTTCTAACAAGAATACTATACTCTTGAGATAAAGAACATTTGTTGGACTATCTTAAATAAATTTTTAAAAAAGAGTAAGATGCATACTATTTATTTATTTGTCTTGTTTTATAAAGCTCAGGACTTTCACCTTTAAAGGGATGCAAAGTTGAATATTTAAGAGCTGTCTGGAGAATTACTGGATATATCAGTACTTGACCACATCTCTGAGTTGAAGTGGGAGCTTCATTACCTCACTGCTTGCAAACACTCAGGGTTAAACTTCAATAATTCCCCAAAGTGTGGTATAATATGCTTTCCACTATTCTTATTGCTCCTTAAATTTCTCCTGTGAACAAAGATGGTGGCATATGAAACTGTACAAAGTAGTGTACAAGGTAACTTACGTCTATGGAGAAGACAGTTCTGTGGCAACAATGACATAAATAATGCTAGAACCAAAATCACACACAAAAAATCAAGTAGATTAGGCTCAATCGTTCATGTTTGTGATATATACCTGGATGATTAAACTGTGTGCTTCACTTTGTTTTTGAAGATGAAGAGATACAAATTATAATTACTTGTGAGGTTGAAGTAGAGAACTTAAGTAGTTATATAAGATTCAAGATTAAATAAAAACAGTATCAAAATCAGAAATGTAAATGGGATATTACCTTGACCCACTTAGATCAGAGGTTAGCAGGACTATTGACCAAACTGGCCCTCTGCCCATTTTTATAAATAAAGTTTTATTGGCACTCAGCCATACCCATTCACTATAGTCCACAAAGGCCAAAATACTATCTGCACTTTAAGGAAAAGTTTGGTGACCCCAAATTAAGGTAAATGCCTAAATTTTTCAATTCATTTTGTTTTTTTAATACAACATTACAATATATAGTGGTACCTCGGTACTCATCGTTACTTCATTCCCAGAACTCGTGACAAGTGCTGAAACCGACTGGTACTGAACAATGAAGCATTTTATCTTGCGGGGTGGTGTCATCACTCATACAAGTTCTAGCAAGCGTGATGAGTCTGAGCAAGCACTGAGTGCTTAAGTGTATTTTTCCCTCATCAAAATGCAACGAATACAGGGTTTGATGGATTCTGAAGCCGACAAGTACTGAGGTATGATTGTACCTATATTAATATTTTAAAGATTTGAGAATATGTACATACCAGTCTAAAAAGAAGAAAGTGCAAGTTCAGTTAGAACTATAGAGGTATAAACACTTCTGCTATATGAATTACTAAGTAAAATTTTATAAGACTTTAAGTCTTTCATATTTATGAGTCTCAGTGAAAAGTTTAAAATATACATCTACACATACACACACATAATAAGGGTAAATTTCCTTCCAAGTTTACTTTAGAGCATATATACTGTTTCTGGACCTATAGTTAACAAAATCTGAATTAGAGCACCATTATTTTGAAAGCTAGTAAGATTACAATTGCAGGGCCGGTAGTGAATTAATTCTAAGGCATACTTGCCACTTTACAAAGCAGACGGTGGGCCTGCTGCTCACCTGGAGGTGTGTAGGCATCCATCGAGGTCTGCACCACCAAGGACCTGCGTTTGGAAGGCATAGGCACTGCCATCTTCCTTTCTTTGTGTTTCGCAAGCGCTGCCTGAACAGCTTCTGTGTGGACGTCTAAAACAAAGAGAGCTGAATTACTCCATTGTTCAGGGACATCCCGAAAGCACCATGCTTTTCCTCCTTTCTCTCTGGTCCTGTGGAATGGTTTATCTTCCAACAGAAACTGTCACTAATGAATGGGTAGGGAGGGAAGCGAAAGTGAACCTGCTAGATTAATAGTTCCAGTAAGAAGACATAAAATTCAATTGCAGACTTTTAATTATTCATTTTATTACCCCAGATTCTGTATAAATAACAAGTACCAGCTGCAAATTTCTGTGTTTCTTTTCTATTCTTAGGATGAATGAACTTGACCTTCAAGTATTTCTTCCCATTTTCAAGCCTCATAATTCATTTCACTATTAAGAGAGGTATATATATTCGACTAGCCATCAGTAATAATTTTAGCTAACATGTCCTGAGAACTCAGTTATGGGCCAGTCACTGTGTTAGGCATTTTGTGTGTTAACTCACTATATTAACTTCACAAATATTTACTGGCTGCCTGCTTTGTAAAGTCATCTCCTCAGGGCAGGTGCAGTGAAGAATAAGGAAGAAAGGTGCAGTGAAGAATAAGGAAGAAAGGTGCTGTGAATAGTGCATCTTATTTTGCATTGGGCAAGACACAGACCTTAGACAAGCAAATAGAGCAGAGAATTAAAACAGGCAAAACAAATGGACTGAGTGGATACTTCACTGTAAGGCCAGGGAGGAGCTCTCACGATGTGAAATCTGAATGTTAAAAATGAACCAGGCCACTCTATACGGATGAGGAGGTCCAGGAAGAGAGTAAAACCTGTTCCAATGCCCTAAACTGAGAGTGAGGGGTGCTGGCAGAACAAACAGAACCCTGGGAGAGGCGTGCACGGGGTGGGAGCCTCTTTGTACAGTGAAGAGTCTGGCTCCTATCTTAAGTCTGACAGGGAGCACCAAGGGATTATGAGGAAGGACATGATCTGATTTCATTTTGATGGGATCATTCTTGCTGCTGTGGGGAAGACTGCAGAATAAGGAGCGTGGACAGCAGGAAACCAGTTACAGGACAGCAGAGAGACAAGACACAACCACACTCACAACACACACAATCGTGTGCAGAAGGTGCTTTCAGTATTTCCATTTTACAGATGAGGAAGCGGAGGTAAGATGCTCTCCCAGATTATCAAACTAGCATTGTCAGGGTTTGAACCAAGGTGTGAGTACCCCAGGGCCCATGGCATGCACCATGACCCATTCTGTACTCCTGCTGTTTTTATGAAAACTCCACCCTGTTAACACATTGGAGCAAGGGTCAGCCAACCACTACCTGTGGGCTACATAAAGCCTGCTCCTGTTTATGTAAATAATGTTTCATTGGAACAGAGCTGCACCCTTCCTGTATGTCCACACGATGTCTGCTTTCACACCATATGTGGCAGAGACCATAATGGCCCAGAAAGTGGAAAATATCTGTTATCTGGCCCTTTATAAAAAGCATTTGCCAGCCTGTCACACAGTACATCACGTACCAAATGCAATAAACAAGCTTTGCTTTATTTGTTCAGCTTGTATATGCATTACTTTTTGTCCTCAACTAGACTCAAAATACTTTGAGACATGAATCAAGTTTCTGATTGCTTTTTTTTCTTAAACACTCAAATTAAAAACTGATAAATGAATGACTTGGATTCATGACCTAAAAGTAAAGAGTTCATCTGTGAGGAGGGCAGAGGACAATAATTCTTCAAACATAAAATACTTTAACTGTCACATGACCCCATTTTAAAAATTTTTGGGCATAATTACAAATTTACAGATAATATGCAAGAATAGTACAGAGAACTGTTGTAAAGCTGTCCCCACATTTACAATTGTTTACATTTACCCCATTTCCCTCCTTATCTATGTTTTATTTTTGATAATCATTTTAAAATAAATTGCAGATAGCATGCTACTCTATACTTAAATATTTAACGTATATCCTAAGAACAAAGACATTCCCTGTAAATTCTAAAAATCAAGAAACTGAACAGATATAATACTATATATAGTACTATCATCTAATCCAAAGTCCATGTTAGAATGGTGCTGACTGTCCCAGGAATTGCCTCTGCAGTTGTTCTATTGGTCTCCCACAGGCATGCACAGTTCCAGGGTTTGTCAAGAATCTGAATGGAGTTCATATACAGATGAGGGGCCTCCCTGAGTTGTCACTCTTACCCAGATTTCCTCTTTGATATCCAGCCTCAAAGTCTTTCTTCTAACACAGTAAGCAAGCAACTCCATGGCTTTCAGGTTAGGTTTTAGAACTTTCACAATAAAGCATCGAGAGAGTACCTTCAAGGCAAAAGCCAAATAAATATGAGCCTCACTTGGTACTGTGTTCTTCCTTCACACGGCCACTCCATCTCTGCCCACCTTCAGCAGTTTCTCTCCAGTGCATTCAAATAATTAGTTACTATTGTGTCTCAGGATTATCACTGTAATATGTGGGAGTGATGGTCTGAGACCAACTTCAGAACTGGATGTTACAACTCTACATCCTTTAAAAAATAATTTTATTTATTTTTAGAAAGAGGGTAAGGGAGAGAGAAAGAAAGGTAGAGAAACATCGATGTGAGGTTGTCTCTTGCACACCTCCAACTGGAGACCCAGACTGCCACCCAGGCATGTGCCCTGACTGGGAATCCAACTGGTGACCCTTTGGTTTGCAGGCTGGCACTCAATCCACTTATCCACAACAGGCAGGCATTTTTGTTTAAATTAAATAATTTAATAAGCTTATCCAAGTCAAATAAAATATAACTTCAAACCCCACTTGATTGAAAATGACTTATAATAATCTTAATGGAAGACTCTCACCTAAATTAAATCCTCCATAAAATGAATTTTTAAATTTGTTACACTAATAAAATAGAAACATAATAGAACCAATTGAAAACAACTGAAGCTAAGAGGGAAGAATCGCTCATATCATCACTTGACCATGCTTCCCAAAAGAAAATTATTTAATACAATAACTTACTGCCAAAATTTGGAGTTAGTCACAAATTATGGGATTTTTTTTTGTTGTTATTCATTTCAGTGGTTTTAAGTTAAAGGGTTGAAGAAGCTGTTAAAGCTTAAGCCCCCCTACAGACATTCACTATTACTCCAAGTCAGCTCAGGTGCTTTAAGAAAAATATTTTCAGAGACATGGCAAGATGGCAGAAGAGTGAATGGAAGCCACACTAACCTCCTCCCAGGACCAATCTGGAATTACAACTAAATTGTGGAGAAATCACCCCACAACAAACAATTGAACAATAGCAAGAAAGATTTATAACCTCAGACAGACAGAGGAATCAGCTTCAGCACAAACTGACTGGTAAGGAGTGTAGTGGAGACTGGAGAAGGTTGGCTGGGTGCCCAAAGGTGGCAGCGCCAGAGGGATAACTGAGCAGCCAATTGGTTCCTCCTGGAAGAGGGGGCTCTAAACCCTAACCTGGGATCCCCAGCCTAGAACACCAGAACCCACAAAGTACACAAATAACAATCAGCAGCAAAAAGTGGCAGGGTTGCTCTCTGCCAGAGATGAAAGGCTGGAGATGTAAAGAGCCATTTAAAGGGCCAACACACAAATTTTCATTTGTAGCCACTTACCTTGGGTTCCGGCAAAGGTGGGGGCAGAGTGGGCTAGAGACACCCAAGGAGCGATTAGGAACCGAAGCTTCAAGGACGGAACTGAGAGAGTAGACTCAGGGATCCCAGTGGTGAGTCATCCTCCATATGGCAGCAGCCATCCTGATCAGGCAGGCCACTCTCCCACGAGTGGCAGCAGCCTGAGGGGAAACAACAGCTTGGACCCCAGGAGGGATTGTGCCTTGCCCTATGGTGCTTCAGCCTGACTGCTGAGTACAGAGTGACTAGATTAACAACTGAAGGAGATAGCCATAGATAGTAGATCCCTAGCAGCCCTAGAGCAGACTGCCTAAGGTCATGTGAGGTCAACATCTAACATCAGATGTCAGAGGTGGATCCAGAAAGAATAAACAGTGGTAAATACTAGCGGCTACTGAGATGAAATCCAGTGTGGTCTTCTCTATGATTTGCGATATTTTCTTTCCTGCATAGCTTTTTAACATTCATTTCTTGTCCATCAAGTTTGTATATATTAAGTCACCAGATTTATACTATAGTTTATTTCTCTCCTTTCTTATAACAGTCTTAATCTCTTTATACCCTTATTAATACTGAATACTGGTTCATTTGCTGTTGATAGTAGGATTGACAGGTGGAGGGAGCTATTTTTGCGCAAATGGCCTTCTTTCCTGGGCTTTGTGGTTGTGTTCTGGCAGCACTTGCACAACAGCATACAAGATGTGGTGGACAGGGTGACCCTCGGTCAACCAGCTAGAAAGAAGGACCCACCAAACAATGACTCAACAATGATCAAAATCCAATTACATCCAGAGAGCCAATATAAATGGCATAAAGGGCATCTCAACAGCATCAAGCTCAGGTGATCAAGAAGATTGCACCACTGAATCTCACAGGTCTTGCATCATAAAAGTCCACACCACAAACTCAGGGAGTCAAAACAGATAAAATTTAAGAAGCAGAGGCAAACAAGAAGATTCTCACAAATAGTGGGAAGATAAAGAATCAACCCCCAATTGAAAGGAAAGGAGGAATCCTTAGACAGAGTGTTGAATGAAATAGAGGCAAGTCAACTATTAGACATCGATTTCAAAATAACAGTTATAAGGAAGCTCAAAGAGCTTCCTTAAAGAGAATTACCAAAAACTACAAGGAAACTACAAGGAACTTACTGCAAACTATACCAGCATGAAACAGGACACAGAAACTATCAACAAGAGCCAAGAGGAAATGAAGAATACAATTTCTGAATTGAAGAACATAGTAGAAGGAATCAAAAGTGGGCTAGATGAAGCAGAGGATCAAATCAGCAAGCTGGAAGATAAGGTAGAAAAAAACTCCCAGAAAGAGCAAGAAAAAAAAAAGACTCAGAAAGAATGAAGGGGGGTTAAGGGAAATGC